GTGGGCGGGTGAGTGTGTGTGGATGGGTGAGTACTTATGTGTGTGTGTGAGTGTGTGTGTGAGTATGTGTGTGTGAGTGTGTGTGTGGGTGCTGGTGTCGCTGTTTGTGGGCTGTGGCGCACGTGTGTGTGGATGGGTGAGTACTGGGTGGGTGGAGGTGAGTGATTGAGTGGGTGTGTATGTGTGTGAGTGAATGTGTGTGTGTGTGTCTGTGAGTGAGTGTGTGAGTGGATGTGTGTGGGCGGGTGAGTGTGTGTGGATGGGTGAGTACTTATGTGTGTGTGTGAGTGTGTGTGTGAGTATGTGTGTGTGAGTGTGTGTGTGGGTGCTGGTGTCGCTGTTTGTGGGCTGTGGCGCACGTGTGTGTGGATGGGTGAGTACTGGGTGGGTGGAGGTGAGTGATTGAGTGGGTGTGTATGTGTGTGAGTGAATGTGTGTGTGTGTGTCTGTGAGTGAGTGTGTGAGTGGATGTGTGTGGGCGGGTGAGTGTGTGTGGATGGGTGAGTACTTATGTGTGTGTGTGAGTGTGTGTGGGTAAGTGTGTGTGGGCTGTGGCACACGTGTGTGTGGTTGGGTGAGTACTGCGTGGGTTGATGTGGGTGATTGAGTGGGTGTGTGTGTGTGAGTGAATGTGTGTGTGTGTGTGAGTGAGTGTGTGAGTGGATGTGTGTGTGTGTGAGTGTGTGTGGATGGGTGAGTACTTATGTGTGTGTGTGGGTGAGTGTGTGTGGATGGGTGAGTACTTATGTGTGTGTGGGTGCTGGTGTCGCTGTTTGTGGGCTGTGGTACATGTGTGTGTGGATGGGTGAGTACTGGGTGGGTGAGTGAGTGAATTAGTGAGTGGGTGTGAGTGAGTGAGTGAAGGAGTGAGTAAGTGGGTGAGTCAGTGAGTGAGTGAGTGAGTGTCTGTGTGTGGGTGAGTGAGCGAGTGAGTGAGTGAGTGAAGGAGTGTGTGTGGGTGAGTGAGTGAGTGTGTGTGTGGGTGAGTGAGTGGGTGTGTGGGCGAGTCAGTGAGTGAGTGAGTGTGTGTTTGGGTGTGTGAGTGGATGGGAAGGTGGGTGATTGATTAAGGAATGCTTAAATAAAAAGTTACCCCTAGCTGAGTCTGTGAGTGCATGATTGAGTGAGCGAGTGAGTGAATGAATGAATGAGCGACTGATTGCGTGAGGAAATGACTGTTTGAACGAATAAGTCCTTCACAGTCCGGGTTGGCCTTGAGTGGCAGGGTCGGAAGCCCGCCCCCTAAAATGATCAAAATTGTGTGGATACGTAATCATTTTTAAAAAAATTGTGTCGCAATGTGGTGGAATCGGGCACTTGTCGCTTTTTGGACATGCGGAGTTATTAATATTATCTTAAAGCTTGTTCATTTGTTGTGATTTTCGTTGGAAAAAAAAAAATACCCGTATGTCTTTAAATAAAAGAAGTTGAGATATTTACTTTTGAATGAGGTGGGAGTTGCCAGGTTTCAGATGTAAAATTAACGAGAAGATGGCCGCCATAGTGTGGTGACTTCAAAGGCTGGGAGTCCGTGGAAACTGGAGATTTAAAGTTTTGTTGCGCCTTTAATTAACATTTTTTAAAGTAAAATCTGCACATGTTTTTGTTGTTTTCAAATCCCTTTAGCTGCGAGCATTTCACTCTTGGCAGCGCAATGCCTCCCTCAAGTAACCACATGTCCACTGGAAATTTAAGTGTTTGTTGCGCCTTTAATTCACCTTTTTTAAAGTAAAATCCGCATGTAAATACAGTATAACACGGATAGGTCAAATGCAGAAGAAATAACATCTCGCATTCGTCGGGCTGTGCCTGCGGTCCCGGGTTTTTTTTCTTCTTCTTTATCTCTGTAAGATATCCCTCCAACTACGGATCCCTCCAACTACCGAGGCCGGTCTCGACGAATTCGAGCTATCCATGTTATACTCTATTGTATGTTCTGAAATGGATATGAAAGGTGTTGAGCCAAAAAACGAAAATTTGATAGAAAATGACCAAACTGGCGAAAAAAATGCCGATTTCTTATATTTCATTATGAGGGTGGTTGGCGGGTGCTCTGGTATGGTTTGTTTCTTCTTTCCTATCAAACATCTATCGTCCTTATCTCCCCTTCTTCTTTTTTATGTTTGTTACTCTCTTGTAACACCTCTAATCTTCTAGCGCTCATATGACCTTATGCTGTTGCGAGCGCCGTAAAACCTCTACTAAAACAAAAAACCCCCCAAAATATTTCATTATTTTGAGGAGAGCACCTGATTCCCCCACGATGCCTCACTATCTTTCTTCGGAGGTGTTGTGCCCCTCTCAACTCGGGGTGACCTTGACAGGCAGGGTCGGAAGTCCGCTGCCTAAAATAATCAGGGTTCCTGCGGCCTCCTTGAACTCAAGGG